TAAAAAATATACAAATTTAGACGATGGTTTATATATTTCAATATTAGGTCAAGTATTTGATGTCACGAAAGGTGCAAAATTTTATGGTCCTGGTGCCACTTACCATGCATTTACAGGTATTATTTATGATGAAATATCACGTTTATGGGAAACATGTAACAGTTTTACATTTATTTATCACATTACAGGCTGTGATGCATCTTTAGCATTTATTACAGGAGAATTTCATAGTAAAGGTTTAACAGATGATATCTCTTCATTATCATTTGAACAGATTAAAATGCTTGATTCGTGGGTCCAGTTTTACAACAAAAATTACATTTACAAAGGTTTTACCAATTATTCTCATAAACTTAAGTCACACAGTGTGGTATTTTAAATTTAAAAAACCAGTTACATATTATAAATTGATCTTTTTACACATAGGAAAGTTAAATGGTAGATATTATAATGAACATGGTTTGCCAACAGAAGAATTTCACAATGTACAAAGAATATTAAGGCAGGCAAAGGAAGAACAATTTCAGGACGAACACAAGAAAAAGATGTTTCCACCATGTAATATAGAATGGAAACCAGATTCTGGGACTGTAGTATGGTGCACTAAAAAAAGGTGTCTGCAATAAATATAAAAATATTAAATTTCATTAGAATAAAAGTTAATATTTCCTTTTTCTTAGCGGAGGAATTGAGCGGGACTGGATTGGTGTACCAAGAATGCTATTTGCATCCCCAAATTCGAAAGAATATAGGTGTGCCTGTGTTAACCTTGACAGTAGAGAATACCATGACATGAAGGGTATGATCAGAGAATACCTTCAATGTCCTAAAACCTCTGTAAAATGTGCTGTAACAGAGATTTTATAGACGACGCATCAGATGTTTCATGAGTATTCATAGTTCAATGTTATGTAAATATATTTAATTAATTTTGTTATTTAAGAAATAGATATTTTTACATACTTTCATAGATATTGATATACAAGTGTAAATAATTTGTAATTCAAAATATAGCTTGATATATTTATAAGAAAGGATATATTATAGAAATTATTTTATTCTTGACAAATGTACAATCTTAAATAAATATTTGTATGACGTTTTTATATTTCAGTCTTTTCTCAACATGTACTGATAACTTGTAAAATTACATATTGCTCAAAATATACTTGATCTCACTAAACATGTGTACTTTTTTAATGCTCATTGATATAAAAAGACATTTTGTAATCTATGAAAAGTTTTATAATTAATGCAATACATAAGTATAGTACAATATAAATGCGTTTACAAATCAAACATTTAAAAAAAAAATAAATCGTTGTTTTTATGTCCTATTCAAATGATTTTTCATACATGTGAATATATAATTTCTATA